TAATAGAGATACATCAAGACCTATTTACAGTAGGTCTGGGCAATAAAACAGTAACAATACTGTACATGTGTTAAAAATACTTTTGACAGAGCAATCCATTATATCAATGAACTCTGATCCAGAATCACACAGCATTCTGGGGGATGTAGGCAGAGGAAAGGATTTAGCCTTTAAATATTTTAGAGTTGCACAGGGGTGAATACGTTTTCAAAAAATAGAAAATATTCTTGTTGATCCGCTGTTAACAGTGTATGACTAAGTGGTATGACTAAAGATTTGTTTTGTTCTATTATCTTTTTTAATTCAGGCAGTGTTGTGGTATATAACTTTTTTTGTTGTTTTTCATTTATGTAATATATATAAATATAATATATATAAATATTTAAAAAAAATCCATGACAGGTGTTTATATACACTCACCGGCCACTTTATAAGGTACACCTGTCCAACTGCTCGTTAACACTTAATTTCTAAGTAGCCAATCACATGGCGGCAACTCAGTGCATTTAGGCATGTAGACATGGTCAAGACAATCTCCTGCAGTTCAAACCGAGCATCAGTATCGGGAAGAAAGGTGATTTGAGTGACTTTGAACGTGGCATGATTGTTGGTGCCAGAAGGGCTGGTCTGAGTATTTCAGAAACTGCTGATCTACTGGGATTTTCACGCACAACCATCTCTAGGGTTTACAGAGAATGGTCCGAAAAAGAAAAAAAACATCCAGTGAGCGGCAGTTCTGTGGGCGGAAATGCCTTGTTGATGCCAGAGGTCAGAGGAGAATGGCCAGACTGGTTCGAGCTGATAGAAGGGCAACAGTGACTCAAATAACCACCCGTTACAACCAAGGTGGGCAGAAGAGCATCTCTGAACGCACAGTACGTCGAACTTTGAGGCAGATGGGCTACAGCAGCAGAAGACCACACCGGGTGCCACTCCTTTCAGCTAAGAACAGGAAACTGAGGCTACAATTTGAACAAGCTCATCGAAATTGGACAATAGAAGATTGGAAAAACGTTGCCTGGTCTGATGAGTCTCTATTTCTGCTGCGACATTTGGATGGTAGGGTCAGAATTTGGCGTCTACAACATGAAAGCATGGATCCATCCTGCCTTGTATCAACGGTTCAGGCTGGTGGTGGTGGTGTCATGGTGTGGGGAATATTTTCTTGGCACTCTTTGGGCCCCTTGGTACTAATTGAGCCTCGTTGCAACGCCACAGCCTACCTGAGTATTGTTGCTGACCATGTCCATCCCTTTATGACCACAATGTACCCAACTTCTGATGGCTACTTTCAGCAGGATAATGCGCCATGTCATAAAGTTGGAATCATCTCAGACTGGTTTCTTGAACATGACAATGAGTTCACTGTACTCAAATGGCCTCCACAGTCACCAGATCTCAATCCAATAGAGCATCTTTGGGATGTGGTGGAACGGGAGATTTGCATCATGGATGTGCAGCCGACAAATCTGCGGCAACTGTGTGATGCCATCATGTCAATATGGACCAAACTCCCTGAGGAATGCTTCCAGCACCTTGTTGAATCTATGCCATGAAGAATTGAAGCAGTTCTGAAGGCAAAAGGGGGTCCAACCCGTTACTAGCATGGGGTACCTAATAAAGTGGCCGGTGAGTGTATATATGTAGCTTATTTTACCGTCAAGAGTACAAGAATTTAAATCAAGGCTATAATCAAAGTATCTATTCATCAGTCTCACAAAATGACACAACTTTTGAATAGTCTGTATGGAATTGAACAAAAAGAGCTGTAGAATAAAATGTTTCAACATATTAACAATAAAAATAATAAGATATATGCATACTGCTTCCTTCTCAAAAAGACATATTTTAAGATGGCTCTAAAAAATTATCAATAGACAGTGTTTGATGGCTCTTATTTGATTGAATTGAAGTGTTCAATTCAAGGAACACTTGAAGGCAGGTTAGAACATCCACTCCAGCTCCTTTTGAAGGAAGGGGTGGAGTTTCTAGTTTGGCAATGGCTGGTCTGTAGTTGAAACTCGCTGATGGTGAGAGTCTTTCTTTTTTTTTTACTTCTTTTTTAAGCCGAGCTTGCACTGTGCGATTTTTTGCCCTTTTCAGGGCGTCTTTCAAGTCGTGCGAGAATTTTCCGATCGGCCCGACTTTCGGCCTTATTGTGCGTCGTGTAGTGTACAGGGGGTAACGAGGGGCGATCAGCCTCTCACGATCATCTACCGATCAGGAATTGTGAGGTCAGGAGAAAATCGAACATGTTTTTTTCAGTCGACTATCGTGGGCAAATCGCTCGGTGGGCATGCGCAAACAAGGATTCTTCTTCTTCCTCTCAGATGAAAACACAGAAGCATGGCGGGGGTGCGGGTGAAATGGAGTTCTTTCTGTAAAATTGTCACGTTTGCTCAGGCACGTTTTTGTCCAAATACATTGCGCCATCTCACAGTTTTTATTCAAGTGTATTTAGTAGTGTTGCGCCGATGCCATTTTTTGGCCCCGATACTGATACCCGATATCTGGCTGTGCAGTATCGGCCGATACCGATACAATAATAATGTAAAATAATTTCCATCATGGCTTTGTCAAGCTGCTGCCTACCTTTGTGAAGCAGGGAAAAATCTAATACAAAGTGAATCCAGTAGAACTTTTTATTGCCTACCAGGAATGGGTGACAATAGCTGAATAAACTTATGGCTCTCAAGATGGTATCGGTGCATTATTTGTTGGTACTTGCCGATACCGATACCATCATTTTAGGGCAGTATCGGGGCCCCGTCCAATACTGGTATCGGTATCGGTGCAACACTAGTATTTAGCCAATAAAATGTTAAATCATTGCAATGCTAGTGTTTAGCTGCCACTTCCCCAGGTGTATTAGTGTGCTCATTAAGGTCAAGCTGATGGTTTGCATATTAAGGGGAAGTATGTACATTGAGCCCAATAGGGAGAAAAAAAAAGGAAAAAATATGGGAGTGGTTTTAATGATCAAAAAACAAAAAAAGAAATTATATGGGAGAAAAAAGAGAAGATAGTCGCTTCACTTTAACACCACTCCTACCATACTATGCTCAAGAACCAGTCCTAGTGCGAACCCTAAAGGATCATGGGAAAAAACCCTATTTAAAAGCAACCTTGGCCCTTAAAAAAGAGGTCAGCTCCACCACCAAACTTTGACTTTGACAGTTTCAGTTTTTAGCAAAATTTGCATTCTCCTTTTACAGAATGTCTTTGTCTTGATGTTACTTTTGATCAGTTATCTGGCTATTTCATTGGACGGCTACTTTTTACTGTAACTTGACCAGAAATATGTTGAAGTAGTGCTACTTAAGTACATTTCTTAGGTACTCTACCCACCTCTGGAGTCAAAACTTGAAAACAGGGGCTATGACTGGGAGAGGGGAGAAAATGTTAAAGATGATTTTTTTAAGAATTAATCTGGGACCTTTTGATTGTATCTTCAGAGCTAGTTATTAGTTGTTTTGCTAATTTATAATAGTGATTTGACTTGTTTTTATTCTTTATTCAACAGTTTCTAAAATGTTATATCAGAGTGGTTTCAAGGACTTGGCATAAGAATGTCCCCAAGTTTATTCAGGATTCTGTGTTCTTTCTTGGCCGATTTTTTTAGGCTTTTACATTTTTTATATCAATACAGCAGATTTAGGCATATATTTACTTTTGGCTGATATACGTATCCGCGTGTGCATGTGTTGCCCTTCCCTCCAACAGCAAAATTAAGAAATATATTGTAATAAAGTTTATCATCCAATCTAGGGCTGAACAATTTTACCAAAAATAAAACTGCGATTATTTTCAACCAATATTGCGATTTTATTACGATATTCCTTTGCACTAAGCACAAACATGTAGACGTTTCATTCCAGGGAACATTTTGTTTCATTATCTTGAAAGCTTGCTTATCCAGAGCCCATTAAAAAACTTACCAGGTGCACCCAGCCAACTAAAATTAATCCAGGAGCACCAGAGGACCATCTAAAGCACTGCAGGACTCTTTAACTTAATTTCTGTGGGTGATCATGATTTATTAGTAAGAAAGAGGTTAGCCGGAAAGTGCTCCCTTAAATTCTAGGTCAAACACCTCTGGTGACCAACAGGCAAACATTGCAGTGGTGTGGGAAAAAAAAGAAAACATGAAATTTTGGGGGGAAGAATACATTTGCCAGCAGTATATCTCACAAACATTAAGCTTAAAGGGTGATCAGAATGTATGGTTAAAATCCAACCAACATAGAGAAGGAAATAAAAAATAATGGACCGCTATATATTGCTGACTAGACCCTAAATTATTTAGCTCGATAGGAACTTTCTGCCTTTGAGAAGGACACAAATGCACTCACTTGCAACCTCTATATATGGTCCCCAGAGACCAGTGGTTTAATTAATCTAATTCATAGAGCTGGGATTACTTTATATCTGTAATTACTGGATGGAGTAAAAAGTCTTCATATTAACCTCTCTCTGTATTCCAAATGTATGTTTCCTTTAATCACAGTGCTTTAAATTTCCAAACCAGTCTTTAAAATCTAATTATTTTTAACCTGAGTTATTGAACATCATTGCAACAGATAGCAAGCTTTATGTTTTGACTCTGTTACCTTGACAGACCCATTTTCTCACAGCTTGGCTAAGCTTTCCTCTCTTCCTTCTCAGTCTGCTCGTCCCGTCCCTTCAAGCAGCCATAACTGTCTCTGATAGCTTTTTCTCGTTCACGTTGCTTTGGGCCATTAAAGGGTATATTAAAAAAGCATTACATTTCACCACTATCATCTCTTCTTTCACAGTAGAGTAATTTTTTTTTTTCTATTCTGGTCAAATGTAGTGACCACCTGGCTCCGTTCCTTAACATTTAACAGCACACAACAACAAGCCGACAAATCAATATAAACGCACAAACGTGACAGCACACCTAGAGCCTGTGGATTCTGCTCCAACTGCAGAACACGGATGCAGAGCACACAGGCACAAATGTTCAAGAGCAGACATACCGTTAGCACATGTTCCTCTTTGCTCTGCTCATCCATTTAGACCAAAACATCCGCAAAGCAGAAGCTGCAGGGACGTGAACCAGTTTCTTGTCTATGGCGGTTATTTGCGTTGTATGGGGGGCGTCTGTGAGCCGAGCGTGAAAAGCGACAGTGTCACACTCCTCTGTTCTCTCTTCCTCTTCTCATTGCTTGATGCAAAGGGAGGGCGAGCTGCTTCAGAACACACAGTGCTCTGCTCTACCCTGTCAGCCCCGCTCCATGCACAGCAGCCAATCCCACCATGCTGCCATGAATATTTCATTCACCCAGCCAACAGCTTATAAACACAGAGGGCACACATTCACATTTGGAGGACATACAAGTCCTCAGCCACCGTGGTATTCAGGTCATAAATGAAGATCCCCCCCAAAACAAAGATAAATAGAAACAGGCACAGGTGTTGGGTCGCTCTGCCTTGCAGCCTGCAGTGAATCATAAAAAGGACAGATTGCTGTGAATTCATAAGACTCAAAATGCCTTAGTTCTTTTGACTTTGAATTACTCAATCCCACTCAACACATCAAGGTTAGACAAATCCTTCAACAAGTTCTAATAATCTAAGTCTATCTGTGTCCTTCTGTGCAACAAAAGCTTCCATAGATGGGGGTAAACAGAGCATATTTCTAAAATGCGAGCAGTTATTAACTAGTTCATTTAGCTAATTTAAAGAAATCATAGTATTTTAACCAGGAAACAGAAAAAAGTAATCATATCATACATAAGCAGACATGGTTAATGTCAACAATATTTAATATAATGGACTTCTATACAATACCAGCCTTAAATTATAATAATAGTGTTGATAGAAATTAGTATTAAACTAAATGTAAAGAGGGACCTCTAATGGCTGAATGAACACAAAGTGGATGCACCCAAGTTTAAGCGAATTAAACAACAATACACAATGTTAAACATAGTGAATATGTATTCCCTGAAAAAGCAGACTTTATCTCATCCATCTTGTTTAAGAAGCTTTAAAAAAGCCAAAGTAAAGAAATTCTCATTCAAATTGGCGATTTAGAGTCAAGTAGGGCTGCATCTAAGGATTATGTTGTAAATCAATTAATCTGTCTATGAATTTTTTTTTTTTAGATTAATTGATTAATAATCAGAAAGCCAAAGATTCTTTAAAAGAAGACTTTTTATGAAATAAACCAGGTGAGACTCAAACATTTCCACTTGAGGACTTCTGGATAGAGCATATCGACAGGCAATTTTTTTTTTTATCTTAAATGCAAAATGTTTATAGATTCTTTAGGATCTTGGTATAATTACTGCTCCAAGTAGGTTGCTCTGTCAGCTAAAGGCAGAGCAACCTACTTATCACAGTTAAAGATTAATCAGTTATAAAATTACTTGATGATTATTTCAATATTCGATGAATCCCTATTAATCCAATTAATTTTCTCAGCTCTTCAGTCATGTGAAAGTTAGAATCTTTTATGTTTTTCTATCATATTTAGGTACATCGGTATTCAATAGATTTTTTTTTAAATACTGAACATTTTAAGTTATATTAAAGACACAATTAAAACAGAAGAACATTTTTATATATTATATATATCATACTGTAAGCATCCCCAGTGTTTATTTATTTTTTTATTACACAAAGGTATATCACATGAGCAGAACATTTGGTAATCATTTTCTTGGTGGTTTGCCTTAACTCATGTTGTATACAAGCAGGGTCTAGTCTGTCCATCCAAATAAGTACACACTAAAAGTAGTCTGCAATAGGATAAAAATACAAGAAGTCTTCACAACTCTTTAAACCCATAAAAATCCTCAATATTTCCCACATGTCAGCGATGTAATCAATATAAATTTGGTTAGGCAACTGTGACAGTGACTTTTATCACACTGTGCTTAATAACTGTCTCAGGTTTCTGTGCTAATATAAAGCACTCAACTAGCTGTGGTTCTCTGTTTTATTAGTTTCAGAGGAATTCTGTTGTATGGCCTCTATGACCGAAGGATCTAGAAGCATTATTTACTAACACTTCCAGTAATTATGTAGAACAATCCTGTGTATTGGCTTCAGTCTGCTAAACTCGTACAAGGAAATTACACGAAGGACAAATTCCATAGACTAATTAGTATAAAACACATACAGCCTCTTAGCACTGTAACCAGTCGAAGTTCTTTGAGTATCCCTACTTTCAGAGAAAGAGTGTGAATAAACCAATTAGAACTGCTATAAGTCTGGTAATATAATCTAGTTTCTAATGATACAGTGACTGAGCTTTGGAAGGGAAATTGACCTCGGTACATGTGAGTGATTTTTTTTTTAAGCTTTAAGCTTTAAGCTGCACAAAAAAAGTGCAGCAAGCTGAATTGTTGACACAGTTTTTCTTCTACACCTGGGCCTCTTGTTGTCATTAAGTTCAGCGTAAACTCCTTTGTATACAAAGTCATTCTAGAGCCAAGCATAAGACCATCTGTCTGACAGCTGAAGCTTGTCCTGAATTGGGTCATGCAACAGGAAGGTGATCTGAACTACAGCAGCACATCAGGGTGTCTAAAAAAGGAAAAGAATTGAGGTGCTGCAACAAACAGTGCCGGCTCCAGATATCAATCTGCAGTCTGGACTTTTGAGAAAGTCATGTAAACAATTATGTATTACTGTAAGTGTACATTCCGTACACTCTTATATATATTTACAGCTGACTGGATAGCTCAGGAGAGCAAAATTGATCAGTAGCACTGAAAGGAAACATATTTGATGACTATGCTGATGTTTTAATGATAAAAATATTGAAATATGGAGTGAACTTTGTATTTTACTCGTTGCCTTTACATGCATGAAAGCACAATTAATGATGCCATTTTTTTGGTCATCTAAGTTTCTTTTTAGCCAACTTAAAGATGTGGTAAGAATCCGGTCATTATGATGCACTGCCACACACATAGGCATACAGGAGAAGCTAAATCCTAGATCCAAAATATCCACAAATTGAAACAAGCTCTATTTTCACTTAGACACGCATACAAGCACTCTGTTTAAACTAGGCTTGTCCCGATCCGATCCACGTATGGGATCGGCACGCCGATATTGGCAAAAAAATGCGTATCGGCAAAGCATGTAAAATGCCGATCCAGACTGCCGATCCAGTTTTTAAAAAAAAATCTGGTCCGTATTTTCCAGTTTCACCGATTGAAACGATCCATTCCACTTTTTTGCACCAGTGTTTCCCTGTTTTGCATTTTTATTAAAACTTACAGTAATACTTGCACCTTTAACTGTTTACGGTTTTACTGTTCACTGTGCAATTTCAGATTGCTATTCGTAATTTTGTCCAGTTTGTGTTTATCTCTTAATAAACAGGTAAGTTTGTTGTTACCAATCATTGTGTTTTATTCAATCTCACCTAATTTAGCTGGCTAGATGTTATCAAGAGTACCAAAACCCTTTTCAACATGAGTCTTACAACTAAGGCTAAATACTTTAACTTAAACTTAAATACATGCTCGGATAGGCTGGTATCGGCCAGTATCGGTATCGGATCGGAAGTCCAAAAACAATATCGGTATCGGATCGGAAGTGCAAAAACCTGGATCGGGACATCTCTAGTTTAAACACTCATCTTGTAACTTTCAAAAAAAAAAACTTAAATTCTCATCTTTAAAAATCTAAAGCTACAGTGTGTAATTTTCAGCAGCATCAACATGAACTACTCCCTTCACTATTTCTCCCCCTCCAACAATACTCATCACCTTCCACCACATCCACATCACATCAAGTGATGACGAGGGTTTTTTTTTATAGATAACTTTAGAAATTGTATTTTATCGGTCTTTGTAGGATATAGATTTTATATAGGCCTAACCTGCAGAATTGACATTAGAGTGTGATGGCGATCTGTAGCAATTTCTAAGGCAATAGACACATAAGGCTAAGACTTTCAGCTCATAGATGATACTAAATAACTTATACTTATGTATAATATATTATATTTCTATCAGTAAATCCAGATATGAAAAACTTTCTTTCCAACAATGTAAAAAGTGATGCATATTCATCCCCCTTTCCTCCAACACCCCTTGACAAAATTAGATGACATATATTGCCTTCATAGATCATCTAAATGGCAAGCAGACTCATCCTGTGTGTGATTTAATTTCAGTATAAATCTAGCTGTTCTGTGAGGTTTATTGAAGAACACAAATGAACAAACATGAAAACCAAGAACGCACTATAATGATCGGGAATAAAGCTGCAGAGAAGTCTAAAGCGGGGTTTTGTTAAAAAAAAAAAGGATGGTCTGAACATTCCACAGAAAAGCAGACACGTTACAGGCACCCACCTCTACCATCCTGACAGATTTTTTTAAGTTTACAGTTATAAATACTATCTATTCATGGACTAATCAAATACAAGACTTTCTGTACACACTCGCTCTCTGTTCCTCTAATCTGTTCCACATTCTCCTCTGTGGTGATCTTCTTGCTATGTCTGCCTGCAATCATACTAAAAGGGCACAAGCAATATGTGATCTGCAGAAATTTTAACCATTCTTGTTAACTGTGTTTTTTTGCTCTCATTAGCTTAATTGGTCCAACCTCAAAACATCACTGGTCTCCTATAAAGCATATGTTATCACCGACTTTATGACTGTGTTCCTCATCTAATACTTTTAGTCTTCTCCGTTAGGTCACAAAGTCAAACAAGCATTATTCAATAGTAGTTCATAAATAGCACATTATGATAATCTGCTTATTTATATCAATAATTTTCAAAAATGAATCACTTGGAATCTAGCAGCTGCTCCTACAAACCAAGCAGTCGCTTCACTTATCTGTCCTCAGGCTTTATTCTCCTTCTCTTTCTCTCCATCCTTACAGCTGAATCACACTCAGTTTGTGTTAATACATTTTTTAAATACAATATTCAAACCACTAATAATAAAAATTGTGTAAGAACTGGGAACAATGCAAACCAAATGTTTATACAATTCACTAACATCTGGGCGTTGATAGTTAAAACAACAGTGATTGAAATTAAGTTATATAAGTCAGTCTATCAAAAGGAAAGTTGTAAATATCTTCTAAAACTACTGATGATCAAGTGGCAGAGTTCTGTTGTCTTAAAACTTAGGAGACTAGGGACCTTCTTGTCAGAGAAAAAAGAGCTGCAGGTTCTAGAGCTGCTACTGAATTTACGGTATTAGAAATATATTGCTTTTAGAGTATGAATGCATAATTTGCTTGAGCTTTGTTCTAGTTAACACTTAAAGGTTTTTTTTTTT